CATTTCTCCTGAGTCCCCTAGATTCAGACACATCGTGTCTGTGCCACGGGCTGTGTGCTACTACTGTACCCGTCAGTCCCAGTCAGGCAGCCCTCTCCAGCTGCCGGTCCAGAACTCCGTGAGGCTGGCGCTCTGCCCGCACCCCTCTGCTCTGCCCGAACCCACCTGCTGTCGGTGGTGGCATCCCCTTTAGGGCCACACACTTCAAATCTAGCTTCAGGCAGGGTGGGGGCTGGGAGATGGAGTGTGCTGTAAAGAGCCGGAGCTTCACAATGAAGCTCAGTCCTTGCTCCCGACCCAAACACAGACCTGAATGTATCATCCTTTGTGGCCAGGCCTGGAAATTTCTGCTCCATGGCAGCAGACAGGGTAAAGGTTGCTCACCCCATCCCCACAAGCCAGGGAGACAGCAGCTGGTGTCCCAGCCTCCTGGGAGCGGAGCCGTTCTTCCCCCCTTCCCTCTGAGTAGCCCTGAGCGGCTCCTCCTTGGAAGGGAAGTGAGTTGAAGCCATGCGCTCTGGAGGATCGGCACCCAGAGGAGGGGGCTTGGTACCGGGGAGCCGAGTGCCTTGTGGAAGGAAACAGTAAGAGCGGTGGTACAGAACTGCTCAGCTCTGCTGGCTCAAGAGGAAGTGTGGGGTGCAGGGCCCCGGCGGGGAGCTGGGAAGCGCCGTGGCTCAGACCCAGGTTCCAGGCCTGGGCTCTGCTCCTCATTCACTCTGTGACCTTTGACAAGTTCCTCCCTGCTCAGCCTCCTCCTCAAACATTCTCCAGGGCCCATCTTATATCCTCAAAACTGGAGTGTTCATCTAAAATGCCCAGGGGTGTTGCTTAAAATGCAGACTTTCAGGCCAGACCCCAGATAAACTGTACGTCTGGGGTTACCAGCTACCAATTGCCGCCAAGCGGACTCTGACTCGTGGCAACCCTGTGTGTGTCACAGAAAAACTGTGTTCCATAGGGTTTTAAGTGGCTGATTTTTCAGAAGCAGACTGCCAGACCTTTCTTACGAGGTACCTCTGTGAAGACTCTAACCTTCCACCTTTACATTAGCAGTGGAGCGTATTAACCATGTGCACCACCAGTGACTCTGGGTCTGGGTATCTGCCAGGAATCTGCATGGTAAGCAGGTATCCTGGAGGCTTCAGATGCTGATTGCACTTTGCAGACCGCCTCGTGAGAAGCACTGACTTAGATGGCCAACATGAAGAAAGAGGGAATTATAACCAGAGGGAAGGCAGGAGCGGACAAGGGGTGTGGGCCTAGGAGGGCCATACCCAGTCCCCTTGGACAAAGCCCGAAGCGCAGGCTGAAGGACAGGGCTTAGCAGGGGACTTGGCCCCACTGTGGCCTGGGCACCATCACGAAAGATGTCACACACTCTGTTTTCAGCTTTTCATTTCTCCTTTCTTTCTCTTCTCTTGTACAATTCTAATATTTTCCCCTTTTCACTTTCTTCTCTTCTCTGACTTCAGGGAACTTTTGTGGAGTTCCTGCTTTGCCCCGGCACTGTGGGGTGATTTGTAACAACGGGTACTGCCGTCTGGAAGTCTGCATCTGGGCCTGCACGTGAGCTCCACTGGTGCCAAGGACTCACGCCTGAGCAGGCTGAGCCACTCTGCCAGGCCCCTGGGGGCAACCTGTGCTGGCTCCGGGCGGGTGTGGAAGGGGCAGGGGCAAGAGGAGTCAACGACCTGAGGAACTGTATCAAGCCTGCTCCAGGGGCAGCAATGCCAGTGGGTACGAGCAAAGGTTTTGAATCCAGATGCTTCCCAGCTGTGTGACCTTCGGTGAGTTACTGCTCTGTGCCTCAGCTTCCTCAGGGTGGATAACATTAGTGTGTATCAAACGCTTACTCTGTGCCAGGAATCATCCCAACTGCTTTACCCTTATGGCCTCATTCAGCCCTTAACCAAACCAGCCGCTGTGGAGTCCACCTCATGGTGACCCCATGTGCGTCAGAGGAGAACCGTGCTCCATGGGGTCTTCCATGGCTGATTGTCCAGCTATTGAGTGCCAGGCCTTTCTTCTGAGGCTTACCTGGGTGGACCTGAATCTCCAACCTTTCAGTTAGCAGCCAAGTGTGTTAACCAGCTATACCATTCAGGGACCCCCATTTAGTCCTTACACCACTGCTGTAACAGACACCCATGATGTCCCCATATTACAGATGTGGATACGGAGACAGGTTACGAAACGTGCCCCGGGTTGTTGCACACTAGTGAGTGTGTCACTGATACTCTGGCCTCAGAGTCCAGGTTCGCCACCGCTACACCATGTTGCTCCCGTGACCGACAGACACCTCATGCAGCTAGTGGAGAAGGAAGATGGCCACTCAGAACACTACTTGTGTAGAGTGACAGCGACCTCTTATCACTGTTGTAATTGTTTGCCTGACCTTCTTTTCCCTCCATGGCAGGATTTTAAGCCTGGGTGCAGAAAGGGCACCCACTCTTGGTATAAACTCTGCTGGGGAGAGGGGAGGGTAAGAAAGGCTCAGAATTCCCCATTCCCAGCAATCCCATACCAGGTGCCCTTGAGTCAATCCCAACTCATGGCGACCCCATGTATGTCAGAGTAGAACTGGGCTCCATGGGGTTTCAAGGGTTGATTTTTCGGAAGTGGCTCGCCAGGCCTTTCTTCTGAAGCGCCTCTGGGTGGGCTTGAACCTCCAACCTTGCAGGTAGCAGCTGAGCTGTTAACTGTTTATACCACCTGGGGACTCTGAGCTCTCCCATACTTGGGTCAAAACACTGAAGCTAGGACCACAGTTCTCAAGTCACCATGTCCTTGGCTGTGTGAGCAGCTGTACAACTCATTTCCCCAAGCTGAGGGTCACTGACGTCCTGCTCCCACTCCGCCTTCCCACTCTACCCTGAGCACAGGGGTGATGGCCTCCTGAGCCTCTAAAAGCCGTCAGCCTCCATGCAGGGATTTGGCGGGCTTTTGGAACAGCCCCGGGGGGTGGGTTAGCCACTCTGGGGGGAAGCTGCCCGCTTTCACTCACAACTCCCAGTAACTCTATTCTTAGGGCGTTTCTCTTGCTTCTAACTTTGCCATCTCTAGAAGTTCCCCTGCACAAAAGCAACCCTGCTGCCTATAATTTACACGTCACATCACTTGCACGGAGCAGAATCCACCCCCTCTAGCCCACCCCTGCAGGAGTACCTTTCCCTCCCGCCGGGGAAAATGGCTTCTGCAGCATGCCAGCCATCATCCCCCCAGACGTCCACCAGAGAGAAGAAGTGAAATGAGAACTAGAAAGGGACTTCAGCAAAACCTGAGTTTTGGAACTTCGTGGTTTCCAGGCTGGGCACGGTTCTGCGGTCTGCATCGCCATGTTGTCACCATGGCAACAGCCCAGCCATGCTGAGTGCCCCAGGATGCCACCCAACCTGTGAGCATCCACGGACCCACTTACCGTGATGGTGCTTTCCTTGCTCTGTTTCTTGCTTGGTGATGAGGATCCCAGGTTCTGGGGAGAGAGGCAAGAAACATCGTCAAAGCTGTTCTCCATATTGGCCTTTTTTTTTTTTTTTAATTTGGGCTCCCCGACGGAGGGTGCTGGGCAAGTTCGGGGATGCTCAGCCTGCCGTTAACTCCTAAGTCACCATATTCTGGGAGAGGGCAGGCGGGAGGATCCCTGGCCCCACACCACTCCCGTGCCAGCTATCAGGGTGCAGGCGACTTGGAGACAGCCTCCAGCACAGGCTCTGATAATTGTTCCAAACCAGGTCTCCTCTCCTCTTCTCACAGTTGTGATCTGGAGTTAACCCCTCAGCTGCCCTCTGCTGGTGAACCGTTCAGCAAGATGCTTGATGCCTGAACCTGCGGAATCCACCGGGGAGTAGAGGGTTAAAGCAGATTGTAGGCCACCACCTCCTGGCACTGAGGATCTAGTACATGACATCTTATTCCGAAACCCGAGTCCAAAATATCAAACCCCAAACACATGTCCTGCACACTGGTTGCACCATCACCTCTGCGACTTGCTGCTCGCCCAGTCGCTGTGCTCGAGCCAGGAGGGGCTTTTCAGCCAAGCGATCTGCTTTCATTCAGTCTTTGGACTGTCTTTTTATCTTCCTGTGGCCAGCAAGAAAACCACAGCCCAAGCCCCTCTGAGCCCACAGGTCCTCAGCAGCTGGCCAAAGTCCTAGGATTTCCTGGTAGGAGAATGAAAGATTGCTAGCTGAAACAATACCATGCTTGCTGTTAAGAGCCTACTCCCTACAGGTGATGTGCAATTTGGGGCGTGTTTGTCCCACTTTTACATGAGGGAGTCAAGACGAGAATTCCCTGGGCTGAACCTGTGACGTCCACTCCTGTCCCGAGCACCTGATGAGCTCGGAAGCAGCCTTGCCCCAAAGGCACTGTGAGTCACCATCATGTGTGTGTCCAGGTTTTTTTCTGAATGGCACTTAAGGAAGTGCCTGTCAGGACTTTGTAGATAAAGAACCAGCAAAGGCACAAGGGGGCTTCTCCAATGAGTCTGCAGGGAACCAGCAGCCCCCCACCTGGCACTGTGACGTCACCCTGCCTCAGGAACCCACCTGCTAACCAGGAAAAACAGGGACCTCGCTTGAGCCCCTGCTTATGGCTTCCTTGGGTGCAATGGTGACTCAGTGGTAGAATTCTTGCTTTCCATGCAGGGGACCCAGGTTTGACTCTCAGCCAATGCGTCTCATACGCAGCCACCAGCCTTCCGTCAGTGGAGGCTTGCGCGTTGCTATGATGTTGAACAGGTCTCAGAGGAGCTTCCAGACTAAAACGGACTAGGAAGAAAGGCCTGCTGATCTACTTCTGAAATCAGCCAATGGAAATCCTATGGATCACAACAGTCTGATCTGCAACGGATCAACTGCAGGACTGGACAAAGTTTTGTTTTGTTGTGCATGGAGTTGCCATGAGGCGGAGGCCGATTTAATGGCAGCTAACGACAACTATGTCTTCTTCTTATCGTTACTCCCATGCAGGCCCATTTTGGCTGATAGTAAAGTTATTTAAAAAAAAAAAAAGATATCCATAGAATGTCCAGCTGAAGGGGATCTTGCAGATCACCCAGTTCTCCGATAAGAAAATGAACTTACGAGACTTGAGACCCTGGTCAAGCAATTTAACTTTTCCGACCTTCAGTTTCACCACCTGTAATATGGATCATCACTACAGTCCTCGAGCTTCAGGGTGCACTGGGATGACTAAGGATCTTGCCTAGAAGATTCCCAGCTCCACCTCCCCGAGCTTCTGATGCGGCAGTTCTCAGGGGGGCCAGCGCCTCTGGTGCAGAGTTTGAAGACTTCACTTGAAGACAAACTGATCTACATTCTATGGTTTTATTGAAGCGACTCCTCTAACAGGTGTGGAGGCAACACCCAGCTTCCATACATCTTCCATACATACTCATCCAGCTTGTCCACCCTGTATCTGCCCAAGATAGCAATTTTGCCCCAGAAAAACCAAAACCAAATGCGTTGGTGTCTAGTTGATTCTGACTCATAGTGACCCTATAGGACAGTGGAGAACTGCCCCACAGGGTTTCCACGGAGTGGCTGGTGGATTCGAACTGCTGACCTTTCGGCTAGCAGCTGAACGCTTAACCACAGCACCACCAGGGCTCCTCCTGCCCCAGAGCACCTGCCAATATTGGGCTGCCTGGGGAGGAAGGCAGACAGGCGGCATGGCAGGAGGCTGGGTGCCTGTCACCAAGGAGAAAATAAGGCACAGAGCTCTGTCCAGAGGCTCCTTCACGCAGAGGCACTGGCCAGGCAAATATATGCCCGGGAGAGGGAAAGGAAGACTTCCCGATGGATTCTGAAGCTTTCAGAAGTCTCCCTGTTCTGGACGTACTTGACCAGCACTATCTGTGTCCCTATCCCAGCCCAGCAGGGTGGGCAACCAGTGACTGAGGGTTCCAGCAGCTCTGGCAACAGTCTTCCTGTCTGTATATTGATGATGATAACGGTGATGGTGTTGAGAAAGGCATGCAGGATAACGAGAAGAGGGAGCAAGCACTGCAAGAGCTACTGCTGACCTGTTGCTGTTAGTTACTGAGGAGCTGGCTCCGACTCATGGCGACCCATGTACAACAGAACGAAATGTTGCCGGGTCCTGCGCCATCTTCATGATTGTTGGTATGCTCGAGTCCACTGTTGTGGCTACTGTGTATTTTGCATGCCTTTCAAACTAGGGAGTTCATCTTCCAGCACTCTATCAGACAATATTCTGTTGTCATCATTTTTGGAAGTAGATCGCCAGGCCTTTCTTCCTAGTCTGTCTTAGTCTGGAATCTTCCAGGGTTATAGCAACATGCAAGCCACCACAGTACAACAAATTGACAGATGGGTGGTAGACTGTTTAATTACTGTTTGTTTATTGAGGGCAGGCATCAGGCTAGGCATTTGACATACTTAATCTCATTCAATTCTCTCAACCCCAGAAAGTTAAGTGGCATCATCTCCATTTTACAGATGATGATACTGGGGCTTGCAGAAGGTGACTAATTTGTTCAGGGTCACCAGGCTAATAAACCTAGCAGTGGAAATCAGAACCCAAGCCTGTGTAACTCTTTCCTCCATCTCTCCACTTTGAACCTGGGACAATATCTTGTTTTCCAGCTGTCCTTTCCAAGGCAGCAAATAACAATAAGACCTCCATCACCCACAAACATTTATTCCAGGACCACTATGAAGATACAAATCAAAAGCACAATGAATACCACTTATAGCCAGCAGGATGGTGATCATCAAAAAGACAGATAATAACAACTGTTGGTGAGGATGTAGAAAACTTGGAACGCTCATATAATGCTAGAATGTAAAATGGTACAGCAGCCCTGGAAACAGTCTGGTAGTTTCTCAAACTGTTACACATATGGTTACTATATGACTCAGCAATTCTACTCCTAGAT